AGAAAGGTGACCCAACTGAGTGTGGAAACTACAGAACAGTGTCATTGATTTCACATGCAAGCAAGATTCTACTGAAGATCATCCAAAAAGTGAAGAATCTATTACCCTACTAATTCTCACACCTGTGACACACACCTGCCAGTAACTGATGCCAGTGAAGTGAGAGTAACACTAGTTGCGATGGCTGATCATCTGTAACCTTCACTAGGTCTTGATTATCAGTCATGTAATGAAGAAATGTGGCATAAATGGAATGATGAAATCTGGTAGCTGTATGAACTCTGACAGTTGCATAAGGACATCATTTTGCACTTACACAGTACTATAATTTGGCAGTTATCTAATGATGTGGTCCTCCCGTCACTCTGTGATCTGATGTAGTCATCTTTCTTTTTTATATAATAAACAGCCTGATTTTTAGAAACTAACAATATTGTTAGTAAGTGAAGACTAGATACAATATTCTGCAATCTTCCTTTCAAAAGTAAAAACAAATAGTATTTTTACAATTTCCTTTTAATTTATAAAATATAATTCGCTTATAAAATTTATTCTGCCCATGACATAGCATTTCCATTCTTCATCCTTTCACTCTAGAAACTAAGAAAATGGTTAAAGCACAAGCACAGTTTCCTATAACAGTCTCATAAAAGTCTAATCAGGAAATATTCCTTGCCAGCATTTCAAGTGTTAGAGAGAGAAGTCCTCTTGTTGTTTAAAATAGAATATTTCCAGTTTCTATAGTGCGTTAAATTATATCCTCAACGATGTCAGTCTGGAGACTAAGGTGTGACTGATACAGACCATGGTATTTGCAGTCACTTGCTATGCATCAGAGAGCTGGACAATGACTATGGAGGACAGAAGGAGAATTGATACATTTGAGCTGTGGTGCTGGAGAAGAGTATTGATTATACCATGGACTGCCAGGAGAAGCAGCAGATTTATCCTGGAGAGGGTTAAACCAGGCTACTCCTTGGAGGCAAGATTCCAAAGCTTCATCTGACATACTTTGGACATATTGCAAGAGGGACCAGTCCTTGGAGAGGGACGTGATGGTTAGGAGGGTGGAGGGACAGCACAGGAGAAGACCCTTGATGAGATGGATTGATTCTGTGACTGGGATAAAGCAGGTAGGTATGTCAGAGACAGTGATGTTGGCACAGGATAGAGCAGGGTTTAGGACCATTGTACATAGGGTCACTATGAGATGCAGGCAATTTGATGGCACATAGCAATGACAACAACAGGTTAAATTTTATTGCTAACCATTAATACCTGGACATGTTACCATATTGGGAAATAGGGTTTTTTAAAAGATAGTGTTAAGATTAATGGCTAACCTCGAGGAGAATGGGAATCTCAGAACCCTTAATTGTGCTTATGTGAAATCTATACTTGGACCAGGTAGCAGGATTCAAACTATATGTAGAACAGATCATTTGGGAAGCACAGC